TATGTCTTCGTCGACTTTGCTTTTTAATAGTCATCATCATCAGCCGTATCATCTCTCACCATCATCATCATCATTATTATTATCATCATCATCATCGTCATCGCATAATGAAGAACGCTATCCTACTGCAAATGGTATTAGTTTAGACAAAGGTATCATTTGGTAGCTGAAAGCCGGTAGGAGCAAAGTTTCCGGCTTTGGCAGGCGTGCACCAAAAATTTTAGAAAATGATTCCTTCAGACTTTATATCGCAGGGATATTCTGAACCTTTTATTTGCTGTAAACATTTGCGGACGTCTGTGAAGTATCCCTCTATTCCATATCGTTTTTAAATATTTTCAATCAGCGGCGACAAACGAAGGAACGAATAAACAAACTTATTGCGGCAGATTACTACTACGCTGCCAAAAATATGATATACCCATAACCACCGAGGAGGGTGCATAAACAACAGACGAAACAGCAAAAGGCAAAGGAAATCTTAGAAGGAACACAAGGAACTCTTCTTCTTCCCACTCCCTCTCTCTCTCTCTCTCTCTCTCTCTCTCTCTCTATTTGTTTCTTTCTTTCTTTCTTTTTCTCTCCCCTTTTCCCTTTCTCGTTTTCCTTCGGTCTTCCTCATCATCCTATCTGAACCACTCGTTCATCCTCTTTATGTCTGATCAAGAATTTTGAACATAAAATTTGTATTACTTTTTTCGTTATTTTCGAGATTAAATATCCTTAAAAAATATTTCTACACAATTTCTGATTTTTTGCATCGATCAAGGTCACCTCTACATGGCATATGCATTATATTAAGTCGAGAATAAGGGATAAGACAGTATTATTTCTCTCTAAATAAGTCTCTAATTTTTAAGGGAGATAAGTTATTGAAGCCATGCATTGTGTACGTGTTATTAAGTTTCAGAGTGCGTCCAAGTTAACGTTTAGATGCTAAAGTCAGTTAAAAATTCTTCACGCTACAGCGCGTTAATAAACAGTTTATAGCAAAATTTCCAATGAGACCTTTTTATTTTTCCTCCTGCGAACAAGAATATTTATCCATTTTATCATTTATCTTCCTTTAGTTAGCTTAGAAGAGTAAAACTGCAGTAATTGTTTTTTGAAAGCGGCCAAATAAAATTATATTTGCTTTCTTGCTGATTAGCGTAAATATTAATTTAATTTACATATACATTATGTAGTGAGATATCGGAAAGAAAGTAAAGCAAAAATAATGAAGAGAAGTATTTTCTTCACGTCATTCATTCGTGGAGAGGGGATCCAACAATGACACATCAAATAACAGAAGTGAAAACATCTATAATTTGATGTGAACTAAGAAGCTAAAGAAGAAGAAGAAAAAGAAGGAAAAGCGAGGAACCCTAATGTACTCTTAAGCACAACAGTTTGTTTTGCTTCATAATCATAAAGAAAACTGCAGCACAGCAGCACCATAGCATCGCCAGCAACGCCAGCACCGCTGCCGCTATAAAGTTGCTACACAAAGGATGGAAAATGATCAAAACACATAAAGCGAAATGGGAAAAGCAAGCAAGCAAGCTAACGTCAAAGGTAGATTGCAATTCTCCACAGTCTCTAAGACGCATGCGCTAATTGAGACAGACATTCAACTTGAAAGATGACAACGATACTTGTAACTTATGAAACGCAGAAGAGGGTGGATTAGTAACTTAACCATAGACATTATATAAAAACAAAGTATAATTGCTAAAGAATACGAGGAACAAGGGAACATTTGCTAAAATATATCTTGAAAAAAAAAAAAAAATGAAAAAAAAAAAATGTAATTAAAAAACAATCAGATTGTAAGCAAGACATATGTATATATGTATAGATATTTGTTTATAAAGATTTTGTAGAAATAGCAAAATATTCCTCTTCCCCCATCACTTTTTCAATGGAATGCAGGCTTTGCCAGAGAATAAGACAGAAAATTATTAGCATTTTTGACGAATTTTTTTTTCAAATTTATTTTTGCACAATGTTCGATTCACTTATTGACACTATTCGCAAAAAGTTTATAATAGTCGCGACGAAATACGTCGTTTCCCAAGACGACGTATTTCAAATAACTTTGACAAACGAATGGTCAGTATATGTTTGGAAAATCTTTTTAACCATTATGCGTTTATTTGTTTTCTTTTTCTTGTTTCAGCTAAACATCATTTATATATTAATTTAACCAAATTTTAGGAAGAAATTCATTTCTTTTAAAGCGAATGCTTTTTCTATATTAAAACCTAACATTATAAAAAAAACTGATTTATTCGTTTCACTTTTTCCGCTAAACCTTTGTCCCCCGAATTATATTTCCAAACCAAATCTTAAACAGTAAAAACACGATATTTTTAACCAATTAATTGATCTGAGCATATATTCTCGGAAAGGAGTACAAGAAGAGAAAGTCTCCATTTCATTATTTTGTTTTTGATCTTCGACTAACTCCCACTTTAACTAGCCAGTGCAAAGAAAAGAAAAAAGAAATATCATATCATTGATAGACCCAACCAATATAAGTTCTACATCCTATTGTGAAAAATCTCTTCTGGAACTCGAGATAAGAGACAGTTTCCCTAATTGTAACTATCGATTAAAAATTCATTTCTTTACTAAGCACTAAATGCTTCCATTTTATAAGATAGGGTAGGAATGGCTTTTACGATGACCACCGCCTAACCACCAGTTAAAATTCTAATTTGAAAGTAAAACAATTTACATGCCATGTAAATCGATCCCTACGATGTTGCAATATTTATAGAATTTTTTCAGATCGAAGATGGGAACGTAATTTTCGTTTAATCTCTGATAACTGCTTTGGGAAGCAGTTAAAAGGAAATTGTAAATAAATTTACTCGAACTTAATCAAAATACGTATTCTCGACATCTTTTCTCTAAAGCGATTGGTTAAACACAAGTCCGTGCTTTACCTAGCGAAGTCAAAGTCAATTATGTCGACGTTTATTGATCTGCAACAAAATATTTTTAAAAGAAACAAAGACATTTTATTGCAATCTTTTTCCGTTTATGAACAAGAAATTGCGACTTCCGAAAACGTGACTACTTAAACTATAGTTAAAATGTGTTTAGTTAATTAATTAATTAATTACTTCCCCTCAAAACTAACTTTACTTGGAAAACAAAAAAGCAGGCAATCACAAAATTTAAACTGAAACTATTAGGAAAGTTTAAAATACCATTCTTTTATTTTGATCTCATTCTTCAGGCCGTCTTCGCTTTGTCGGAATCGCAAGAAATGAATACAAAATATTAGAAGAAGATCGTAGTTTATTGGTCCTTAAAAAACATTTGTCAATATATACCAAAGGGAAGGCATCCAGCAAGAAATAGTCTCGAATCACGCATATCTTTAAATACTGTTATGTAAACACATGAAATGGATAAATTCGATAATCCAGACCTCGAATCACCTTCGATAGCATCACCGATGACTAGGAAGGCGAAATGGAAAACTTTAAGCAAACATCATCTATTCTTTCCTGGCCATTTATTTATAATGGCTTGTACAAGACGTTCATCGCAATATGTCTATCTATTTAGGAGAAACGGGCCACGTGTCTTCTCTAAGGAATTAAGTCACTAAATGGGATCTGAAATTCTCTTTCATCATCATCTTCATCATCATCTTAGAAACTTAGTCATAAACCTTCGCCTACCACAAATACTTGCTACTTCTAGAGGGACAGACCGCTCTGCAAATAAGCTACTTATATGCCGTAAACTTTAACGCTCCCGATTTTTCTGTATTCGAATTTAATTTGCTTGATAATAGCACACCGCTTGCTCTTTTTCTAGCATATTAATGGCGTACATTGTATCAAGTAAAAGCAAAAAAAAAAAATCCTTCGATATAATTCTACATAAAGGCTTCTACTCAAAAAAAGAAATGGGCTCGCGCTGACAGTCTTTTAAAAATTTATTCATTTTTTTGTTGTTGCCTTCTATTAAATGTGAAATGCTATTATTAAATGTATTGAAATAAATAAAAAAAAAATTAAATGTCTACCGCGAGAGTATAAAACTTATCAAGACTTTATCAGGAGGAGGGCAAATGTGAAAAAACATCATAAACCTCAACTGCTTATAGTTTTTATTTACACTTTCACTTTCGCTTTACTCGTTTCATTTAATTTATTATCAGTTTCGCGAGCAGAGCTTCAAGAAAGGAATTATTTATTAATGAAATGAGTTATCAATCATTATATTGCTATCGTTGATTAATACCAGCTGCAAACTTTTCAAACAGCAACATTTCGCATATGCAGGGATTTAATATATCAAGTACCCCACCCGCCTTTTGCTTCTCTTTTTTTAACGATTCTGTTTATAAAATAATTAAGTTTCATATGCGTTTACAGAAAACCCAACGAAACTCGAAATTAGATTGCTGCTTGCCTCCTAATCCGAATTCGGTTCGAAAGGAATGCAAATAATTATAGTAAGGGCCTTTTTCGTTTCATTTTAATTCCAATTAGAAAAAGCAATTCAAAACAGTACTTAGAACCTCTTCCTGCTCCCTAAACTATACTCTCAAACTAAATCCCCCCCCGTCAAAAAATAGTCAATCAAAATAAATAAGAGACAGACATGCATGAAGAACTTCACTTCTCTCCGCCCCTCTGTCCTACGTTGTATTGCGACTATCAGAGTCTTATGCATGCGGATAAAAACAGTGTAAAGTGGAGAAAATGATGACCTAAAGCGGAGTTTAAAAGTGACTTTGATTCATTTCCACGAATGCCAGCAGCGGAATAAAATTTTAATAAATACGAATCTAAAATTCGGTGCAATGTTATAAATAAAAAATTCAAGAAATCTTGAATGCAGAAAAAGAATTTCATTTATTAGCAAAAAAAAAAAAAAACAATGTAATGCAAGTGTTTACCAACACACACATGATAAAAAGAAAAACCTTAAAAGAAAATAAATAAAAAAATGTTTGTATAAAATTTTTCGTTCTACACTAATACACTTACCGTTTAACCATTTTGTTGGTTATACCGGAATTGTTTTCCTGTAGAGATCCAATATCGTCGGATTTATTATAATCCAGTTTTGAAAAAATCTTTATACGACGGAAATTAATTTTGGAAAAATTTTGTCTTTTTTTTTTTATATACTAACACTCTTTGGTCCTTAATTAATTTTTACTAAGCAAAACAAGTCACTAGAAGAACAATTTTAAGGTTTTGTTAGAAACACGAAAACAAAATTAAGTAAGTAGGAAAAAAATAAATAAATAACGGTGGTGGCGAAAAAGAAAAACTAGGCAGGAGGTTACATACACATACATACATTACAGTACAATGTAAATATATAAATAAATACTTATGTACATGCATATGTATATGTATTTATGTATAGAAAAATACAAAATAGATTTTAAAATAATTGATAAAATTTTTATGGACAACAAGAAGAACAGTCGAAAAGTAAAAGCCAAATTTATCTGTTTATATTTTCAATTTTCTTTTCCTATCTTCTACTCTTTATTATTCTTATTCACTTATTTCCTACTGCATAATGGCTTTTCAGTGTTGTTTTGTGCTGTGTTGTGTCGCGCGTATGTAGAGTTAGATGTGATTGACTTAATCATGTAGCCAAATAGACCACCCGCCCCCGCTGCAAAGAGCAGCATAGAGTATCTAATCAACAGAGCACTGGAATAGAACAACTTCAGAAAGCAAGAAAAAAACTCTACCTATGCATATATGTTTTCATATATGCATATACATATATACATATAAATATAAATATATGTACATGGATGCATTTTGCATTTTTTTATTGAGAAAAAAATGTTAAGAAATTTACTTTGAAAGAACTTTTAATCAATTTCCTTCTCTCGTTCTCTCTCTCTCTCTCTCTCTCTCTCTCTCTCTGTTTCTCACTCCCTGTATGGGTCTATATTCAAAGAAATTATTTATTAAATTATTAACTCACACATGTATATATATGCACTGCTTTAAACAACAAAAAAAAGGAAAAATAATTTCGAAAAAACATAAGATTTTCCGTATAACACACATACAACGATTTTTCCTTTTTTCCCTTTCTTAATTATCGACCTTTTTTGATTCATCCATTACTTATACAGTAATTTTATAATATATAATGCACGTATATATGTATATATGTAGTTTTAATAACAACATACATTTAACTTGAACTTTATTCAGTTAACATTCACTTTGTTTCTTTCTTTCTTAATTATTATTATAATTTTTTGATGCCTTTCTTTTTATTTTTTTTTAAACAAAAAACTATTTATTCACTTCCAATAAAGAGACATGAAGCAAGACACATCCGAACTACAAAATAAATAAAGATCAACTGAAAAAAGTAACCAATTAGTTAATTCAAGTTGCCAGCTCTATTAGCTATGATTAGCTGTAATGGTTAGATGATCTAGCAACCCTTACAAACAAAGCGCATAGAAATTTCTGTTTGCCCAGAACCATTAAGTCTTCAGGCTGGCAATACTGTACAAAAAATAATGTTTTTATTCCAAAGCGTTCAAATTTAAAGAGAGAGAGAAAAGAAACAGCAACAGAAAGCAAATTCATCAAAAAACCATGGGCAAATTTATTTTGAACAAAGGCTGCAAGTCTTCTTTCTTCTTTCTGTAAATAAACAATTGGATAAAATTACATTAATGACAATACAATTATACAATAATAATTATCATAATTGATGTGTCCGTAATACTATAAAGTCTCTTAAGGCACGTATCTGAACCACAGTAATATTAAGTATAGATTTCTATAACTCGATTTTGCGGTGTAGAAGCTTTTGGAATCACTAACAATCTTTTCGATATTGAACGCAACAGCATTAACAAAGTATAGTGTTGAAGATGATAAATACTTGTTGTCAGACAGGATTGAATTCATTGTCCGCTTCTGGTGTTTGAGAGCGGATGAGCTTGTAGAGAAAGGCTAGGTTTTTGATAATAAAGCACATTGGAAGATCGAAATTCAAAATCTTAAGCTAAAATGGAAATGTTCTCTTATAATTTCTTTCATTCGAGACATACATGGCACAACTGTTAACGACACCCTGCAATTTGTGGCCAAAACATAATCTACTAAACCGTATGCGTTGGCAAACTCGCGTAAAAGGAATAAATAATCAATTTTGAAGTCCAATCCAGTTGACAGTGATATATTTTACTTTTCAGCATTCAGTTCTGAATTTTAGTTTTTTGTTATTATTATTGTTATTATTATTATTATTAATTTGTTTATAGAAATATATTAAAAAAGTAAAGATCTAAAGCACTGGTATCTAAAGGCTGTACGGCTTTATTGAAAACTCTACCACAAATGAGATTTGCACCCACGATCATTGAGTTATTAGTTGAAATAATTTGTGTACTCGGTCATAGACGCCGATAATTTTTAGTTTGAAGACTTAAAGGAAATATTGAAGAAAAATTTAAAAATTGCTGCTTATCTTCATGTAAATAAATATTTATATACGTTTGAAGACAATTTAAGAATTATCTCTTCATCTCTTCATAGTGCAAAAATTAAAATTAATTTATGGACTTGTGATACGTGTTGGAAACGTATCAGTCTCTTGTGAATTTCGCGGGCAAAAATGTTACAACAAAATTATTACTTGCCAAACAGGTGGCATTTCATTTTTCAAGTTATTTGTTGCCTTTTGTTATTAGTGGCTTATAAAAATAAAAAAAATAAAAACCAGATAATTATAATAATAGCAATCATAGAAAAGATAGCAGCAAATAAATTTTTATTATAAATAAATCATGTCCTATCAATTGTATCGCAACACCACATTGGGTCATACCTTACAGGAAAGCCTAGACGAGCTTATACAGGTAGGTACATGTGCCATTTATATTTCTCACATATGCGTGTAAACAATATTGGGGAGCGTTAATTATCAATAAATTTTTCTTTAAAGTATGGCCAAATTACACCAGCCTTGGCATTAAAGGTGCTTCTGCAATTCGATAAATGTATAAATAATGCTTTAAGTCAAAGAGTAAAGGCTCGCGTCACCTTTAAAGCTAACAAATTGAACACATATCGTTTTTGTGATAATGTCTGGACACTAATGCTGAACGAAGTGGAATTCCGAGAAGTTCACGAATTCGCTAAGGTTGACAAAGTTAAAATAGTGGCTTGTGATGGCAAAAGTGGTGATTTCAATTAAATGTATTCGACTAAAAAAGCTAAATGATGATAAACGATAGCCTGGAAAAAATAAAGACTTCTGTTGTGATACAACGAAATCATTTACATATATATCCGTTGTGTGTTGGGGTTTTGTTTGGAATTTTTCTTCTTTCTGGAGACATTAAAATAACGTTCATACGAAATAATTAATTAATTATAATAATAATAATAATGAAAAGAAAATTATTGTAGTTGTACGTATACTAAAATTAAAATACATCTTTGAAATGTGGTACAAAAATTGACGAAATCTAAAAAAATCTTCTTGTCATTAATGAAAATATGAAAAAAGATATAAGCAAAATAGGTTGGGATTTCTGAAAAATGTTCTCTGTATAATATATGCGATTATCATTGGTTCATAAATATTAGTTCCTGTCTACTTGGATGTTTTTAAATAATTGTTTTCGGTATTCTCTGTCTAAGTGACTTGCTCCTTGGTTAATATGAAGTCACTACGTACCGATATGAAACGAAATTTACCTCCGACGAGGTGTATATCAACCTACGAACAAAATGAGGAAGAGATGAGGAAGATAGGCTTATCGGATGCGACTATGTTGACGGTAGTCAAGAAAAAATATACAGGACGGTATTTGTGATAGGAGTTCGCAGCATATTAACGTCGTTCAATATGCTACTCGGCACATATCCCGCCATAAAGTGGAATAAAGGCTCAAAATTATTACATGGCTATATTGACTTGGCGGCGGACATAGGACTCGACATTAAGGTAGTGGTTACCGACCGATCCAATCAAAATAGAAAGATGATGGAATGCTTCAACAATGGCATCTATCGGAAAAAAAACCAAGTGGGACGAATTATTAAATTCCGTCTGATATACGATTACATCCACCTCGCAAAAGCCTTCTATGGACATATGAAAGAAGGCAAGCTATACGACCACAAGATAACCGCAAATTTAAAAAAGCGTTATTGCAAAGACTAAAAAAAAAGCATACGACTATTGGCTAGATAAAGGTGTAGTACCATCGGTCGTGATTCCTGCGGATTTCCCCGAGTACATCGCCTACTACGCCAACGCGACGTCAGCGTTCATAAACACGGCTATGAATAGAAATATAGTCAGAGGTCCGATGGTGGAACGGACGTACAAATATATAAAGGCGGCAACAAGATTTGTAAACGTCTTCCATAGAAAGACCATCAACGCATCAAATTGGGAGGAGCGAAAAGGCGAATTAAAAGAAGCTTACAAATTTTTCCAAAGGTATTTAACCGCAACTCTGCTCTCCATCGAGAGACGATTTACGATAGCGAACTTCATCAAAATTGTAGACAAGTTACTACGTGCTTACCCTGACATTTCAATTGCAGGGTACAGGGTAAGCCAAGTTATAATAGGAAGGTTTGCGTGCAATATTGCTCCAACTTACAGGAAGAGAGAGGTCGGAACCTGATATCGAACTCTTGGCGTGGCGATTAATGGCGAAACAAAGAGAACATTGGAGGCAAGAACATGGAACGACCGGCGACTACGGACTCATCGAAACATTGGACAACAGAATCCCAAAACTGGCTGAGGAAGAGTTTCGGCCACTCGGCCTGGACAGAGTGGCATACAAAAACGTAAGAGCTCGCCGACGAACGCTACAGCATACCGTATATTTCAGGCTGATGACGGGGTATGCTGTAGGCAAATACATAACGGATGAAATAAAATGCCAAGCATGCTTAAATGAACTGACAATAACCAAAAAATTCGCCTACGCGGCCGAATTGTTACAAAAAATAAGTACGATAAAAACATATTATCGTGTAGATACCTTAAAGCGGAATTTTTGAAAGAAAAGGTTCAAAAAACATTTAAAGCCGTGTATAATATGGTATACGAAATTTGCGACGAATGTATGCCTGACAGAAATCTTGGAAAAAATATCCAAGTAACCGCCTTAAAAAAACTGGCATTCTTCAAAACGCAAGGATGCTGCGCAATTTGAATGGAGCACAGAAGAAAGCTGCTGGGTTATGATATAAAATTAGCGCTACGCGGCGAAAACTGGCTAGAAGAGCCGGTTTGCAACGTTTCATCATTCTCCAAGCAACTTCCGGACAATTCATAAGTTCATTTGATTAATGTACATTATTATTATATTATATTAATGTTTGTTAATGCAATGCAATGATGCATTTATTAAATTACTATAATTGTAAAATATGTATATATGTATATAATGGTGTAGGCCTAAAGGGGAGCCAGCCATTTAAGACAATTGGCAATGCGCCTGGCACGGTACCTCAAAGGTGGTGTGGAAAGCCGTGAAAAGAATGCCACCCACCGGAAAAGGAGAAGTACCCGAATTGAATGGGCATGATAGGACCTTAAATAAATAATCTTGCCGTAAAGAAAAAAAAATGGCTAATATGATATTCGTAAGGTTTTATATCCTTATTTCTCTATAAGTAGTTTCTCTTAATTTTCCGTAACCAATAGTGAACAACGAAGCATGTGTGCAATAAGAGCTATTTTTTATCATAAGAATGAAAGACGTGCTCAAGCAGATAATAACTCATCGATTAGAACTAATGGAAACCAGAAGAAGTCATTTCTATTGATAATCATGGTGAACGAAGCACTAATGTGTAAACAAGGGAGACATAAATACAAAAAACTCAAGCGAAATAAACAAAAATTATTAAAATTATGTTGCGTACCGTTTTGAAAAATCTTCTTTCGAGGTAAGCGTATTTCCAAAATTCTAGTACTTCTACGCTGTGTGTATTCGACTATGTTCAGAAAATTAAATCTGTGGACCGTTTAAATGTTTACCGCTTTGGGGCTATTTAAATCAATAAAAAGAATGTACAGTGGCGTTTCCCCTTAAATTAAAAAAAAAATTTATTGACTTCACGTTTAATATAGAACATGTATATATTTATTTCACTTTGCTATCTCATGAAATTATTCATAATATGATTTCTAAAAACTATGTTAAATTAATTGGCTAAACTATGAATCAGAAAAATCAAGAGTTACCGCATGAAATTTTTTCGTTTCTTTTGTAGTTGCTCACGAGAGACTTGCTTGAAAACGCGTTGTTTCGTTTGGTTTTCATTTAAATGTTTATAGTAACCGAAACCACCACCGCCGATACGTCTTTCAGGTCTCCGACGTTGCACGCTGTTGACTTTAAGATCTACAACAGGTGGTACCAGAAAACCGAAACTCTTAGCAACCGCTTGTAGATCCAAAGTATTCACATCGAATATTGTCTTCAATTGATGCGAATCATAAGCGCGCACGTATGATTTGAAAGCCTCTTTTGCCGATTGATTAAGGAAATAATTCTTCGCTATAAGTTTTTCCAACTAAAAATTGCGATAAATGTAAAGAAATAGTTATTCTCTTTTTCATTGCATCTACCTGTAATTGTATATCAGCAATTTTGCTCCACGAAAACTCAAACTCGTTTAGAGGAACTTTGGCAGCTTTTAAGTAACGCAAAAAGCCCAGTTCCTCAGGACGTAACATTAACAAAGCATGACCGGAACTACCAGTACCGCGAGCAGTACGACCTACGCGATGTATATATTCCTAAGAAAACAAAAATTAAATGTAAGAAATTTAAAAAAACGTCTCCAGATCCACCTAAGTTTTCAGCTGTTTGTTTGAGAAAGTTTTGAGAATTGCTGCCTCCGTTTGAAAAAAAAATAGCTTAGAAAGTAACACATTTTTTTTCAATAGCTTAACTTGCTGAAGTTTGTACGAATTCTTCTGCAATTTAATGCCTCTTCCATTGATTTCCAGCTCCTCTAAAACGCCAGCAGATTTGTTTAGAAAGTATTCATGTTCATTTAGAAGCATTTAGAAAGAAACTACCTTTCAGTATAGCTCCAACAAGACTGTCCTTAAGTAAATACGAGGCTGAGAGCTACTTGAAAGCTTACAGCGCGTGCTCCTGACAAGAAACTAAAAGTTTAGCGTATAGTTTTTGATACCAATTATAAAGTCATTTCGCAACACGTAAAGTGTAAAGCGTGCATGGCTGTGTTTGACAGATAGAACAAACTAAGAACAAATCTTCGAGTAAAGGCAATGTGGAGGAATACTTGAATGCAGGATAGCATTTCCCGGAAACACATTTTTTTTGAAGCTCGAATAGCATAATTACAACATTTTTTCCTCTTTTCACTCAAAAAATAAAATACACAGGCTGTTATTGCTCTTCAATTCGGAGAAGTAAATGTCCTACAGAAAACCTAATAGATTTTCCAAAAAAAAAAAAAAAAAAGATCCTCTATCGAATGTAGGCGCATATATATTAAATTATCAATTTTTTTTTCACTTTCCCTCCGCTCTTAAGCTTTCGGAAGACACTACTGAAAGCAAACTTGTATTTATCTTACCTTGGGATCATCTGGTGGATCATACTGCACAATCCAGTCGACTTGAGGTATATCTAAACCGCGAGCCGCTACATCAGTGCATAACAGTATACCTTCGGCAGCATTACAGAATTGAAAAAATGTGGTCGTACGCTTTGTTTGCTTTTGTTTACCCTAAAAATAACAAAATGACAAAAAAATTCAAATTATTCTGAAAATATTTGTTTTATAAACGGTTTAGTTTAGTTTAGTAGTTTAGTTATTAACCAATGCCTGTAGCAGTTGATTTTTACAATCGTTTTTTCTTTTTTCGTTTATTGAGTTATGTTTTGCGAATTTTCTTTTGAAATAACCAAATAATAAGGAAATTAATTAACGAAATCTAGGCAGATTGTCATCTTGTCCTTGTCTACAAAATTCTGAGGGTTATGTGCATGCAAGTTCTCATCAAAGTTTATGCCACTTTGGATGCCCAGTTGTTGTTTGACGACGGGTTGCCAAAAATATTCGATGTGTCGCTACCCAAATTCTCGAGATTACCTTTTATAAACCCTTCAAGAATATTCTAACTTGCAACAATACAATGCCTTGATGGATTTGTTAGAGAGAAAGAGAGAAAGGGGGAGACTGTTGAGAGTCTCTTAGCAAACTCCAGGAATGTGAGCTCAATCATCACTGCATTAAGTAAAACTTACGGATGTCCCGAGCAGCTAATAAAATCTCAAACCCACAAAATTAGTTCATTAGCGATTGAAGATACTAATTTAGACTCATTAACCACATTCGCAAATAAAGTGGTGAATATGGTCCCGCTTCGACTACTGTGAAATTTTTGGAATCCGAAAATCAAAATCTGCAGCCGAAGCTTCGTGCCATAATGAAGAATGCAATTGTTGAGAAAGTTTGCAATGATAACACCGCAGAGGCAAAATCGATAACAAAAAATGAACAAAAATTACGTAAGGAAGGCGCATCTACTCATAAGGAATTGCTATCTAATCACATTGGGAACGCCAGGTTATTGCCCGATTCTGATAAATTTTTTTATATAAAAAATATCAAAATGTTAGAGGATCATTAGAAATATCGTAGACCGTATTATTCTTAAAGAAGAGTACGTTGTGAGCAAAGTCGGGCTTTAAACAAAAAAATGTCTTTTTCTTACTTATGCGGGATACTTTTCGGACAATTTTCGCATATTGCATAACGTCTTGAGTTAAGAATTTGTAAATCATTGAGAAATGGTAAAAAGCAAGTTTCAACGGTTTTTCTTTAAAACTTACATGAATTGAGGTTACTGGCAAATCAATATAGTTGAATAATTCAAGATGATATTTAACAGACATGCAAGATGAGAAGAAAACCATAACTTTTTTCTTGCGATTCTTCTTCAGAAATGTAAATAGCACAAGATTCACATTAACGGAGGTACGATTATCCAGCCAAATGATGGCATTGTACAAAGGCTTACCAAATGTAATCGCTGCTTGCCAAATGTAATCTGCTTTAGGTTTCAACGATTTCCATCAATTATACTGTAAGCTATAACGCGATTGTCACTTTCTTAGTAGTTCCTAGTTGTACACAAGTTGTTCAGAAACAAGAAACTGTTTCAATATTAAACTCACATCGGCTGCGAACCCGATTGCTTGAGGAATGGAATATTAAAGAAATTATAACATCGTCCATAAGTGACAACATTTAAATCCGGGTCTGCATTTGGGTTATTTAAAATAGGATTTGATTTGATTAGATGAAGACGGAAAACATGGGCAATAGTTTACATATTTCCGAGCGTTAGCAGCAAATAACCCAAGATCATTAAATTACCATAAAAAGATATGTCAACTAATAGGCTTGATATTAAAAAGATTAAATTTATTTCCTTCCCCGAACTCAAAAATATTCATCTTTTGATTTTTTACACAAAAGCTGAACGAGTTTGGGTATTTGGGATTTTGTTAGATATCTCCTCAGATGGTTCTAGGAAAAATTTTCTTGCGTTAACAAAAAGCAACACAGGAATCTAAGCGAAATGTAAAGCGAAATTATATGGAGATGTTGCACATTTTCAAGGTCATTAGTCCACAATTTTTTACACGGCGTAGATCGTGAGATTGATGAAATGACATTCCGCAAGCCAATATTGCAAACATAAATAATGAGATATGAGTAGTAAGACCGATTATATACATATACGGAAATGTCTCCTAAATTAATGCCACATTTTTCACGATGTTCAGATCATCATGGGACGTCTTTGTTTAATGATAAGAGAGAGGAGTTGCAATTATTGAAAGCTGAGTCTGTGATGTGAAGGTTCGGTTTTTAGGAAGATCTTAAGACAAAGGTTTTCAAAACGAGAAACTATATTGAACTTTAACTTTTAAAATGGAATTTTCGTTTTATGCAGATCTCCTAAATAACTACATATCTGCCAAATAATTTTCATTGAAAATAAGACCTTAAGTCGGATTTGTATATCAACTAACTGTAGGACAAACGGACAGCCGTAAATCGAGTCCATTATTCATTAATGCTGTATTTAAGGAATCCATTATGCCCTCTGCCGCAAAGTTGGTTATCCGGGACTGCTTTTGTTTTGGTTAACAAAGACTAAGCAAAAAAAAAAAAAAATAAAATAACCGCTTTGCTATGGGATGCCCTAATATGAACAAGATCTTGACAAATGATTTTTTTTTTCTTAACTTTCACCAGAAATGTAAACATTTATTTAAACACTTTGTTATATAACAACAGAAAATATTTTCAAGCTTTCTTTCTTTTATATGTATGTGCACATAGTAATGGTAGATAGCAAGTATTTATTTGCAGTTTGCTTTAAAAGTAATAAATTAAATAAATTATCTTCAGCATATGCAACGAAATAATAAAATAAAATCTATAAAATCAAATACAATTTTCTTCTTCTTAATTACGTACAAAGCGTTGTTATCTTTTCATTTCCTTTTCATTATTACACACTTTACCTCCGTTTACATAGTTTACAAAAAATTGTACTCATCTTACAGTAACAGAACATACATTGTGTATGTGTGTAGATATGTGCTTATTAACATAACGATCAAGTCCTTTCTTAAAAAGTAGCACAAAAGAAAGAGATAGAATGCATAAAGTGTTTATTTAAAATTTACTCACTCTCCATTTACGCTCTTTATTGTTCTTTAAGAAAGAACATTTTTTTTTTTTGTCTTTGATGTTATTATTTTCAGCAACACATAAAACTGAGCCAACAGCAACTATCACTTTAATGAAACTTAGTTAATCAGTTTTTTAGTTGAGAGCGAACGTGTAGGAAGTTAGTTAGCTGTGCGCGCAAATTTAATATTTGGTTGATTGCTTGGTTTTTTTTATGTTAAAACAGTACGCTTCTTGGATTTATCTAGTTTTGTGCGACTAAAAATCAAAAACCCTATATATATACATATATATATATATATATATATTAATGTAAATGTAAAGGAAATTTATAAAAACGTCCCTAAGAGAATTTATATAAAAAAAAAAAAAAAATTTTAAAAAATAATATATCATATAGTATATAACAATGTGTTTAATCTTTTGCAAATGTCAAAAACCAATTGCTGAACCAGAGATACGTGTTATTTAGAAGTTTACACACCAAGCCTTTTTCAAAAAAAAAACCCAGCAAAATCACGTTTGAAATATAAAGAAATCAGTGAATGCGAAAAGTATCAAGAGAATTCGTTAATCGTTGCTTATACAATAAAATATAATGAAATATAAAAAAATAATGCAAAGAAAGCCGTTCTGTTATTGATTAAAACTAACTTTGAACCGCAGTACTTTGGACAAAATCACTCCTCCTCGTTGTTGCTGTGTGACGCCTGCTGTTAAAGTTTAATAAAAAGTGCAAAAATTAAAGTCATTCAACCTTCTGTTTAAGTTTGCGTGTTTGCAGAACCACAACCAGCCAGCTAGCTAGCTAACTTCCATCATCCAATCCAACACAAGACCATTATATGATTTTGCTTTGCTGTAACAATACAACTTCGCTTGTGTGTAGAGTAATTCTCTCTGTTTCTCGTTTCATTTTTTAAATTGTAAAACAAACAAAGTGCTAGAGGGGTAAAGAGAAATTATTAAGCACAGAACAAGAAGAAGTGAACCAAGATCAAAGACATTCATCCATGCAGTATAAAGATTTAGTGCTAAAAATAAATTTCTCAATTTAATATATATATAGAAGAGTTCAGCATACATATATATATATTTGTTAAATTGTTGCAAAATGGATTATATTGTTAAAGCATACAAAGATTGGAAATTGCATTCCCAGGTGAGAGACCGTGAAGTTTTTCTTTTTACGACAGCTATATAAACTAAAACCACACTCATAAAAAAAAAAAGAAAAGAAAACATATTATTATCACGGGTTTCAAGTTACGCATACGTAACGGAAGGAGGATGCAGTGCTTCGGTCATTTGGTTGATAAAACGCTGAAACGGTCATTATTAAGGCAACGAGATTCTAACTACAATGATTTATCCGGCTTGCTATGCATTTTGGGGTTTCACAAGCACATCTTCTTGTTCGACGAAAATTGAAGGGGACTTGATTTTTAAACATTACACTAATCAGGCATTATTTGAAACAGAGATAATTACAGGCATGTACGGTTAAGGAAGGAAAAATATCTCTATACCTTTTCCCTTGCTCAGATGCTATTTGCAGCTTTCATAAATATTTATGCTAAACTTGCGTCAAATTTAGAACTTAAGTAGTGGAAATTGATAATTCGGTTTAAAGCGTATTTAACGTTTTCATCAAACCCCTTACATGTCTGAATCTCACACCTACATCTTGCATATACATATACATATGTATAAATGAAATCAAAACCACAACAAAGAAATGCAAAATAAATAGTGACGTGCGAATTATTATAAAAAATGTTGAAATGATTTTCTCTTGATTTCTTGATCTTAACGAAGACTAGTATTTTTACTTGGAGAAATTTGTTCTCGACATAGTTAAATTTTCTTTTGTTAGGTTGTATCGGTATCGCCAGTATGTGTATGTGATATGATTATATTGCCCGGGTATTCCACAAACTAACTATGACTCAAACTGTTTTCATCTTCAGTCTTCTTTTAGCTGTAGTTGCGAGCGTGTGCCATAGACTATCTATTATTCAAATAGCCTTAACTATCTTAACCTTTATCAGATTTTGATAAACTTAAGTTTATTTGAGAGATAATTTCTATGGGCTGGGCATTAATTACATTTTGAAGAACAAATAATTGAATAAACTTTTTAAAAAATTGTCTCCATTATCAGAAAATTTTTACCATTCATTCAACTTATAAAATTTTGTCTGTAATCAATTTGCAAAACACTTTTCGCATTCTTGATTTTTGCCTCCGCTTTTGAAATTTTAGTTTGTTAGTTACGGGAGGACTAGCTTTCGATAAAACTACCTTCACTTAAAAATGATATATATGTTTTCAAATTACATCAATTTCAAATTTTTTTTAGATGCAACTTTTTATAACAAACAAAAAAAGAAGAACTGTCCATTTATCGTGATGACAGCGTCGAAAAAATTTTGATCAAAATATTTACAAGAATTCATTTCGATCAGATCAGTGCAATATACGGATGGACCTTTAAGAAATCTATTTCTTTAATTTGTGATTGTTGGCAAAATCTTTCCACTAAACATATACCTTGTAAAGACCTTCGAAGACTCGTTTTCTAACCTTATAGACATCTTGAAAGTACTTCGGGGAACGTACTATCAGTAATTTAATTTAATTTTTTTTAAATCTCTAGAGTAACCGTGCGGTTTACATTTAAACGAAAACCGTCTGATCTTGGTTTCTTGGTTGGCCAGCCTTCTATTTTTTGTTAGTTGTAGAATTAATTTCTAAATAAATAGTAGTAATAATAATAGTAGGTATGCCCATAAATTCCTCCTGTCGTTTGACACAATTCAAGTCTACTTAAAACTATACTTGCTACGAAGCTTAATAACCGAAATAAACATAATCATTACCTACGGACTTTTATCATTCATCGGGTAGCTTATAGAGCGAACTAGCTAGCGATCCATTTTCGCTAATCTTGAAGTTTGCTGACTTGTTAAATATGACTGCGTCAAGTTGAAGCTGTCCTAATCACAAGGAAACACAGTCTGGAAGGTGGGCGTTAAAACTTTCCCACCTAAGCTGAATATTATTGCCTCGCTTTTAACGGGGACGAATGGACGTATGCGACGAACGTATTCATAGTTCTGAAGAGTCACGTTTTTCTGCTTCTAACTGTTTTGCAGCTTACCGCATTTCCATTCCTTGCCAACATATTCATTTTCATAACTTCGGCTGCATTTTTGTCCAGACTAATCCAGTTAAAACCTAGAAAAATGCATTTCGAGCGACAATTTGTAAGTAACTCAAACTTGCACCCTTCAAAAGCCAATATCTAAGTTATCGGTATCTGAAATTTCGGATAAATTGAGCGCGTCAAGTACGCTTTACGAAGCAGCCAATTCGAACGGAATGAATTTATTTGCACACCTAACAATAATTTTTTAGGAAATTATGCAATTTATTACAGAGTCTACGTTAGAGACAAGGCCTATGAGAGAATTCGAATCGTTCCGAATTTTTGAACAATAAAAACTCCTTTGGTTTCTCCTTTGATATCTCAAAACCTATCTATCTATTTATCTATCTAAAGAAAGGAAGAACTATAACTATTTACAAGAATTGCTTTTACGCTTAGTTTGTTGAACATAAGCATATCGAAACAGTTAGGCACCTGCTTACTGAGTGCAGTGGTTCAAGACAAAACTTTTCCTACAGTTGTTTGCTCTGTTGTTCGGTTGATTTAGTTTAAAGTTTTCATTTCCGTATGCCTTTGTTAGTTATTTTATTAGAATTTTTCTTAAAAACCAGTTTTCACATTCCATTTGAAATACGTAAATGAAAGAATACGCAAATGCTTATACCGAGTTAAACCTCTATATACTAGACAAGTCTAAGAAATGTAAAAAGCAAAACAAAAAAAATGTTGCGCCTATGCAATAATAGAGAAAGAATTAGTTTACTTAAAAATTAGACAAGTCCAATAGCGTTTAAAGCACTCGATCTGGACAAATGCATGCATACCCCTGTACTTTTTTGCATAGATTTGCAAGTAATTATCATAATGTGTGTGTGTGTGTATTTGAAATGCTTCTCTTTTCAGCGAATATAAAAATGTTTTATTGTCTTTGCTAGATTCCATAAAAGCAACGGGTTTTTAGCGCCAAAATTAATTTATTTACCTTTCAACGCTACAAGCAATGGTTGGCCGTAACATTGCTTATACTCTATATCGACTGTAAGAGGATTAGAATAAGTTCGTACGGAGATCTGCAATAATATTTCACACGATCTAATATAGATCCGCTTTTTTTTTTGTATGACACGAACGAATTCAGAATCATTTTCCGAATCTACTCAAGTCTATCTCGCTTCCGAAACAAAATTATTAAAAAGTAAGAATATTTCCTCTCAAGGTGCGAGGAACCTAACGAAAAGACTATTTTTCCAACCCCTCCCCTCCCAAGACCGTATTTAGAAATTGGCGTTCCAAAGTGATGCTTAGCGACCGAAGCTACGCATTGTATTTAGTGGTCTGTTCAAATTTTCGTTTGCGGCCGCTAAAAGGGAATTGCATGTGCGGAGTGTCTTGTTTAAGGACACCTTTACGAACCATACGAACACCATTGATGCTTGAGGTACTTTCGGTGCTTGTTTTTCCGTCAAAACATTAACATATTTTGAAAGCCGATTAGCAAAATGCGGTGCAGTTAGTTCTTCCAGAAGCAGGCGAGTAAATCGTGTATCCTATCATCCACAAATTTTCGCAAAATTGCATTTCTTCCTCGGCCAGGTCGCTTTTACTATGACGAGATAATTCTAAACTCCATGGCTTGATTTGAAAATTTTCCTAAGGCACGTGTTCTTCTCGTGCCGCAAACTTTATAGCGGCCATAGGTTGGCTATAGCGCACAAAAAATTGTCGTGATGGAACGCAAACATTAATAACAACAATAAAAGAGTTGGCTAGTTTCCAAACTTTGTTGTGCCAAGCACTGCTGCAAAATTTAACACTAAAATCGATCAAGTTGAAGCGTCAAAATGTAGTAAACTTAATATTTGTGACATAACCTCAAATGAAATGCTAAGTGAACGAACGGTACGAAAAGAATTTTACATCGATTTCTTGTGTCGGAGTAATTGCAAAAATCGATACATCCTTGTCCGTCCGTCGCTTGCCTTAAAAATGCGAGTAAAGAGAGTCTTCAGAGAACGTTTGCCTCGCTTTACTACTTTATAGTGAATAATCTGACAGTTGATTATTAGCAGAAAGAAAAAAATAAAAGTTAATGCGGAAATTCATGATAAATTGTGTTGATTCTGATAGCCACTATCGAAGCGTATTGGCATAATAATTCTATTTTCCTATTTGTAACACGTAGAAATATGTTCGAGGTACGTGCATTCGCCGAAAGAGCTCGAGGCCATATCAACAAGCACATACCAGGAGTGCTTCGAGGATTAGAAAAAGCACTGGCACAAGCGCATTATATCGAAAGGGAACTGAGGGGAACAAAATGGATGTTGATGGATAACTAAGTATTTTTCGAGAAAAATAAAAAGTCACCTTTCTTGTTGAACATGCCTCGTATATGAAGGATATTTAAAAAAAAAAAAAAGAAGAAAAATACTCATGTCCAGCGTATGGTCTTTATATGCTTATAACTCCAACTCTTCGCATTCTTGTCCTTCTTGCAAAAATTGAAATTTTACAAAAATTTCCGTAATTGTTGGGCAAATATTAAACAAGAGGATATTTAGGTCATTAAAAAAAAAACGAATAATAAACTTTCTCAGTTATCGATTCTCAGTGTCTTCTAAAATTCAGTGCGAGAGTGCTTTGCCCATTTTACACGTGCACACAAGCAACAATAGCAAAACAATGTTGCATTAATTAAAGTGTGCCCGAAGATCCGCCTCCATACAAATGAAATTTTTTACTTGCTTGTGTTTTTTTGTTTTCTATAAACTATAGATTTTGAACAAATAAATTATCTAATCAGATTTAATCAAGTATAATATAAATTAGTTTTCTATAATGTACATAAAAATAAAATTGCAATTTTTTTTCTTATTGTTTTTTTTTTTTTTTTTTTTTTTTTTAAATTATTTCTACAATGATAACAGATTTTAAGACATTTTATTACATTTTTCTTTAACTATACACTCAATACTGGTTTTTTTTTTTTT